GTGGTAGTAGTAGTAGTAGTAGTAGTAGTAGTAGTAGTAGTAGTGGTAGTGGTAGTGGTAGTGGTAGTGATAGTAGTAGTGGTAGTGGTAGTGGTAGTGGTAGTGGTAGTGGTAGTGGTAGTGATAGTAGTAGTCGTCGTAGTAGTAATAGTAGTAGTAGTAGTAGTAGTAGTAGTAGTACTAGTTGTGGTGGTGGTAGTAGTAGCAGTAGTAGTAGTAGTAGTAGTAGTAGCAGTAGCAGCAGTAGCAGTAGTAGTAGTAGTAGTAGTAGTAGTAGTAGTACTAGTACTAGTACTAGTAGTGCCAGGAGTAGGTAGCACCAGCAGCTGCAGAACAGGCTGCTGTCGCAACAATAATACTACGGAGGGCAAGCATCTGAAAGCCGGCCAGATGCGCGGGCTCATTCCTGAGCTCAGGCTGATGCTGGGGAAGTCTGTTGCAGGGCAAGCCATCACTTCGGCGCTCGTTGGCTGAAAAGGGTCCCGTGTGCATGTTCTGTGTATACATTACATGTGTATATCACGGTCCGTTACATCCGAATATGTATATATATATATATACATATATATATATATACATATATATATATACATATGTATGCACACATGCATACATGTAAGTGCAAGCCTATCTGTGTATATGTACATGTATGTGTATATGCATATGCATGTGCATACTCATGTGTATATATATATATATGCACCTGCATAAGTGCACACATATGTATATGTTCATGTCGGTGCATATTCTGTGTATGTATATATATATATATATATGTGTCTCTCTGTGTCTGTGTGTGTGTGTCTGTATATGGGCGTGTAGGGAATTTGCGCATGCGCATGTGTACATGCATGTATCTCGTATGTATCTATGTATGCATGTATGAAAGTATGCATGCATGTAAATATGTGTGTATGCGTGTATACATAGAAATAGAAACAGAAAAATATCTATATGTATATGTTCAGATACTTATGCAGATACCAGCATGCATTTCCATGTTTACATATACTGTCATTTTTTCATGGTATGCGCATGTGTATATATCTATATAGCGATTTTCTTTTTGTAAAATACACAGATATCGATTTACATACCTTGTGAAATGAAAACTCTCTATTGTAGTACACTGCACTATACTCTCTTATTATATTATGTTATACTATATGGTGTTATGCTATCTATATAACATTGGTGTACTATGATATGTTCGACCTTATTATATTGTATTATCCCGTATTATTGCATTCTGCTGTCTTGTCTTATGTCCTATTGTATTGCATATATGCCCATATAGAAACCGTAAACATATTTACAGATGTATACACAAAAGTACATAAAGACACATATATATATATATATACACATGTGCACATATACATAAATATACATGTATATATATATATATATATGGTGTGTGCGTGTTTGTTAGTATACATATATATATATATATACATGTGTGTACATCTTTTGTGCATAATACGCACTGAAAGCACTGCTACACTTATACATGTTCGTTCGTGCATGCACCCACGTTGACATGCACGCATCCCCGAATGCATGCATATCTGTACGTGTGCGAGAAGATACGACATGTGTGTATGTTTTCCGTATGTTTTCCGTATGTATGTATGTATGTATGTATGTATGTGTACTTGCATATGCGTGTGTGTGTGTGTGCGTGTCTACGCGTACGTGTACGTGTAGGTGTACATGTATGTGTCTCGGTGTGTACATATGTGCAAAGACTTTTGCATAAATTTAAATATATGTACATGTGTACATGCATATATACGTAAAATTACATGTACGTGTATCTCTCTCGTATCGTTTCCGCAAGACAACTGGACCGCAGTTGAGATTTCACAGCTTGAGGTGACCGAAACTTGCGTGACATTGCATGAGCAAAGTCCCAACAACCGAAACTGTGGCTTCAATCCATGTATAGATAGGAACTCACCCATATGCACACATCCATATCCATCCATCCATCCATCCGCCCATACATGCATGCATCCATCCAGCCAGCCATCCATGCAGATGTACGTACATGCATGGACGCATGCATACATGCATGCATACACACAGCTCCACACCTACTTACATACATATGTACATACATAGATACATACATACGTACATACATACACAATATACATGACATGCATGACATACACTGACACATACATGCATGCATACACACTTACATGCACACATATACCGACATACATGCATGTACAGACGTCAAGAAGTGCAGACCTACATACACCCCCATACATGCATACGTACATACATGCACACGTACACACATACACAGACTTACACACATACACACATACACAGCCACACACAACTTCAGACACACATTCACAAGTACAAAAACACAAATACACATGCATACATACATACATACATAAATACATTCATTCATTCATACATATGTACATACATACATCCCGACCTACCTACCAACCTACCTACATGTATACTGTAAGTCTATAATCTATATGTGAATATCGATTGACATTTATCTGTTTACTTATAGTGCTTGCTCATGCATGTATCTATCACATGTGCACGTGTATACATGTACTACATGTATATGAGTGTGCATATGTGCATACTGAACACGACTGCACACTAAAGGCTACATGTTCCTCAGCTGAAACACGAAACACATCCCGCGTACATGTTCAACCGCATGAAGCGGTACGACGGTACGATGTTGATATGGCTCATTTTCCCACATCGACCCGTCATCCGCCGCAGCATCCCGCAAGCTTACGGATGGTTTTGAGCTCCACACCCGCCGGATATCTGAATCATGAATAGCCTGCCCCAGAAGCTTCACAGTTTCTGAGCAAACCTCCACTCCAAAACCATCAGCCGGGCCACATGGGCGAAAGCCCATAAACTGCCTTTTTGGCGGCTCCTGACAGGCCCTCGATCCTGGGCACGAGCCAGGATTTACGAGGCTGGAGGCGTTGGAGCTGCAAAGGGGTAGTGTAGGGGCCTTAACGATTAGAATAGGGTTTTGGGGTATATTTTACTATAATTATCATAAAGGAACCCCAAAATAATATAGGTAATTATTGGGCCCCTATAGTATGCAAACGGAGATGCACGGCTTTTGACTATCCCAGACTCTAGTTTGTCTGACGGGAACCTCACCCTGCCTCCTAATTCTCAGGAGCTGCCGGCGCCTCAAGACCAAACACCCTGAACTCCCTATCGTCAACCGCTCCAGAACCTAAGCCCTTAACTCTAAACCTTAAGCCCTGAACCTTAAACCCTGAACCCTAAACCCCTTAAGCCCTAAACCATGGGCTGGCTCTGGCCGCCAGGTCGCCAGGCGATGGCGGCGTCGACGATAAGAAGCCCTGCCTCAGACGAGGTAGTACTACATGCCCAGTAGTAGTTGAGAGTTTAGGGCTTAGGGTTCGGGGTTTAGGGTAGGGTCTTGCTCTTGGAGATAATAGTAGTGGCAGCAGTGGCATTAGCAGGTTTAGCAATGGCGGCAGCAGCAGCAGTAGTAGTGGTAGC